AGAATATTTTTAGTTATAAATAAACAAATTTGCGCATTCGACATTGTGTTGTAAATTGCCGAATTTTTGATGGTTCACCCATTACACAGGTCTGCAAGTAAAAAACTGCATAGGATTTTTATACATTTTCTTACAGATTTCAACTTAGTAAAAACGAAAAAAATACCAAAAAAATTCCATCTCATCAATTTTTTTTGTTATAGTCAAGTTTTTGTTCGTATTTTGCGTAAAATTCCTAGTTAACTTAAAATTTAGCATTATTTTTTTTATTTTTTAAAAAATGGCCTTAAAACGAAGACTTCCCACATTAATTCTATCAATTATAGCTGGACTTGGTAATAAATAAATAAAAATGTTAATGGTTGAAGAGAGTAGTGGTAGGAGGAGGTGGGTTAAGTAGTTTTAGCATTAGGAGGGCGGTCGCATGATCATATAGAAACAAGTTAAAAGTTGATAGTGAGTAATATTATTGGTGAGGTTGAGCATGTTTCGACATGTTATCTGGGATACCAGGAATAAATATAAACAACCTGCTGTTGGATTAGATCATGTTTCAACAAGCTAAATAGGTTCAGTATCTCGCTGGCCATCTAATGCCACACTCAGTTTATATCCAGCATTCGAACGCTACTGTGCTTGTATTTTTATTTCTGGAATATGGCTCGCAGAGATTGTGTAATTTCTCCCGACAGATTCTGTTATGTTTGTGGTGAATACACAGTGAAAAGTCAATAAAGAAACATAAGTGAGTTTGTGATGAAAGTTTAATTTGCGTATTTCAAATTGAAACTTGGAGATCAAGACAAAGCAGATTTTTGAAAACAAAGGGAGAAAAGGAAAAAGAAGCATGGGACTCTTTCAAGAATGTAGTGCATAAGTTTTTGGGAATATTAAGGACCCTGACTACAAAACCATTGTACAACGCATGCTGGCAGCAGCGTATGAAGCTCAAGGATGCAAGATGAGCTTAAAAGTTCATTTCTTACACTCCCATATTGACTATTTTCCCGAAAACTTGGGAGCCTACAATGAAGAACAGGGTGAAAGATTTCACCAGGATGTCCATGATATCGAGAGACGTTACCAAGGGAAATGGGATGTCAATATGTTAGCTGACTACTGTTAGATGCTCAATCGAGAATCCAGAGAAGGAAATCGGAAACGAGTTTAGAGAAGCATAAAAAAAAAAGAAAAGGTTTCTTAAGAAAAAAAAAAGTAAAAATTGTGTATAAATATCAGAAACAATTTGTTGATTAGTTGTAAGAAAATATAATATATTTAGTTCATTGTAATAAATAAGAGTTTTTATCAAAAAAACCTTTACGTGGTGGGGTGTAACAGAAGTTATTTTTAGAATCTGTGATCTTTAAAACATATAATTCAGCAAAAATATTCCATGCAGCTGGAAAAAAAAATTTTTTTTGCAGACCTGTGTTATTAAACGTCGAGGGGGAGATAAAGGGGGTCGCGTGTATCTCCTGTAGGGGCACACTTAATGGCAATTTTACTCGTTATTAGCACTTACAATTTTTTTTTTATAAAACCCATCTCTATTGTCAAAAGTAAGCTTTTTGCCATTTTATAATACACTGCTGGTCAAGTAAAATGCAACACCTGCAATATCTAGAGTCCTACATGGTGTTGCATTTTACTTGGCCAGCAGTACAGTTATTTTATTTAAAAATGTTTAATATTTTTATAATAATAGATGACGCCACCAAATATTGCCGGGAAAGTTAAACAACTCGTTGATGGATTTTTCTAAAATTTTCTTCCAATTTACTCAATAGTGAATCCTAATCTCGAAATTACTTCTTCATTAACGAAATATGTCTCATCTTTTCTCAACTATTTTATTTTTTGTAATACTTCCTCTTAATAGCTATAGCCTCTCTCCTTATTTTAAATTTGTGTCATATTTTACTAAATTTCCTCTATAAATTTGATGGTTGATGGATAATCAAGAAATGAAAAAGTTGGACGATCTGCCAAGGATGAAAAAAATACTTGGAAAAGTTCACTTGGCTAAGACAAGTACTGTATATAAATTAAAAAAGTAAACTATTTCTTAGAGATAAAGAATGCAACAATAAAACAAATTTTCCTATAAATATTCATTAAATATTTGTTTTCAGATAGTTTTGCATACAATATTTGGAATGTCATAAAAACTTGCTTTAAATCGAGTTGAGAGAAGCAATTCATTATAAAAATTATGCTATTGTACAGCATAATCTGACAATCGAAAGTTGGTACTATGTAGAAATAACTGAATAATTTGGCAATCGAAATAACTCCAGTAAAAATATGTAGAAATGAAATAAAATGATTTTCTAAAAGTGAAATAATGGAATCATAAATTCTGTAATATCCAGTAACTTATACATTAATTCTATTCTAGATCGAATCGCATATTTATTATTAGAATAAAATATAAGATTATAAAAAATACTGTAACTAAAAGATGCTCTAAATAGATATATTCAGATATGCAAATTGCATCAATTATATCTCATATAGTTTTCACTTCCATAATCAATTTTTGAGCTGCTAAATAAATAATATATTAAATGATTAAATATATCTTAATAGTATATGTGAAGATCTATCATATGAAAATGAGTGTATGGAATTCCAAATGACTCACGATAGAGAGGATGTTGACGATGCACGCAGTTATCAACACTTTCAGACTAACAATATTCGACCCAAATCTCATCATATATAGGAAGGAAATTTAACATAATATAAATATAAAATGGAAATTTAACGTTAATTATAAAAGAATTTCTAAGAGGGTTATTATGGAATAATATGATCATACAAACTAATTTATAGAGCTTACGTTAGCCTAACAAACACTAGTTCTTAATCAAACTGCTACTAAAAGTAGGCCTTTCAAAGCTTGAATAACATATTGTATCTGATATAAAATAATGTAGATAAATATTTTTCATTAGATTTCTTAAAACACTGCAAACTAAATGAAATTTATATAACGTCAGAATTGTTTCCTCTTGTAGATTTCGGTGAAATTCTCTACTGTAGTCACGTGTCTGCCTATCATTACTTCGTTGCATCTATCAACTCAAAATGTGCACTTTACGGTTACGTATGTGACAGTTACGATAATTTTCTGCGAGGAAAATGCCACAGGGGATGTGGCAAAAATAACTCTTTATGCGCCCCAATGGGTTTGAAAGCAATCGAATGGCATCACTACATTCGACCCGATTCCACAAAAATGTTCCTTCAGACTACAGTCGATATACCGTATTGTAGTAGGTCTTATTTATTTTATTCATTTTAATAATGTTTATAAAATATATATACACACACTGTATAATTATTTTAAAAGCATAATGTTAATTAAAATCGTAGTACTTTCTTTACAGTGTATCATTATTATGTAGAATTAGTATGCAATTACAGAGACGAAGAAATGCTCTATAAATATGGAAGGAATAATAATAAACTATTCATCAATTTATACGGATCAAAATTACAGACGGGTTTTCAAGAAGTTTCTTTTATGTATGTATCTCGTATCTTATATTAGCAATTGATTAAATTTTAGTTAATAATCTTTTACTACTTACAGAAGCACGCGTTTCAACTCTAAACCTACAGTGGAATTTTTGTTAGCTTCGAAAAATGTGGGTGTTATTCACAGAGTAGATCTCAAATGGAAGCAAGCCAATGAAATAGGAATTTATTTAGATTTGTGTGGTCCTTCTTACAACGCTAAACAGGAATGTAACGAATGCTCTTTCTGTTTTAAAGAAATCAGAATCTATACTCTAGAGACGAATGTTTGGTAAGAAAATTCAACTAATAATACTACTGTTTATTTACTAAAACAATTATTTAGTTAGTTTCAAATTTGAATATACAGCATTTTTAGCGGTAGTTGAACCTTTTACTGACTGAAATTTAAGAATTTTAACATAAAAATATACATTAATTAGTTATGAAGGCCGGATGACCGAGCGTAAGGTGGAAGCCTGCAGCTCCGGAGGACCAAGATAGAATCAGACAACAAAAAAAAAAAAAAACTCCATAAATGTTTCGGGCTGGTCCATCTGGATATGGCAATTCCCGTCTCTCGCCACCTGACCATTGTGGGTCTAGCCGAACCCATAACGGGCTTATTAAGAAGGCTCTCTTGGTGCCCACAGGGTGGAAAGAGCAAAAATAATAATTTAATAGTTAAATCAAAAACTTCATACACTATTGATCTATTTATCAGAAAGTTTCGTGAGTTTCATTCAGTAGGAAATTATTGATTAATATAAATATTTTCCTGTTACAGGAATATATTCTACAGTGATAACTACACATCGACCCGGAACGAAACCAAAACTTTTCGTGTCACTCCACATCATGACTCTTGGAAATCTTCGTTCGTAGAAACATCCCTGTACAGATAACACATTTAACTATTGATAAATTTGTTTTATATTCTATGAATATAAATTATATATTACGTAACTTCTAACAAAAACAAATATGTACAAAATTAAGCAAGTAATTATTCGCTCGTCAGTCTCAGGTATGAACTTATGTATATAAACAATAACATTTTAAAAAAAAGAGAATAAAATATATTATATAAATATTTAAATTTTTGTTTATTGAAGCATAATTTCCGCTCTTTNGTAACGATCATAAATCCTCGTCTAAATTATTATAGGTCTTATTAAATAAATACCACAGAATATCATATAGCGCTTCTAGATTCTTAATATAGAATAAACGTGCAATATTCTGCGTTAAATAATGTTACCCGAGTGCTCATTTTTGAAAAACAGCAGCGCATTTGCAAATGTTGACCCCGTAGTAGTATAAATTGGAGTAATGATGGTAACTCGTAGAAAATTTCGTTAAACAGCAATTTAGGGAAAAGTAAAGGATTACATGTATAATCGTTTCCAAAAAATTTTCCTCAAATTCAACACAAGTATTAAGTCTTGAATTTGAGGAAAATTTGTTCCAATTCAAGAAGATAAAGAATTATATTTATAACCCTTTATCTTCTTGAATTGGAGCAAAATTTTTTCGAGATTAAATTGTTCGACATTTTCTTGTGAAATTATTTATATATTCTATGTATTATTCATCATACAAATGACTCTTAAAGGGTATCTGAGTCATTTATATGATGAATTATATACATTAGCAATGAAGAAGAAACAATTTATTATTTTAATATAGAAATTGTTATTTCACAGTTTTTATCTAACTCGTTACCTAATATTTTATTTTGATAAAATGCCTTTTTTTTTTACTGTCAATAAAAATAATCATGATATNAAAGCATTATTTCTAAATTAAACATTTTTTTATATGAAAGATATTAAGTTGTATCTTCTGAAATTTAATTGAATTTTTTCACTTTATTTGTTCAACAAATTAAACATTGCTATATTACATTCGTGTAATACAGTCATAAAATGTTTTATTTTTAAAATAGAAAATATATATCATAAAGTAATCACTCATAAATTTATTTTTTCCCCATTTTTAATATTAAAACTTGGGAAATAATTAGAAAATTTTGTTTTCCAATTAAAAAAATTAAAAATAAATTATTTTTATTTTTAAGTTGATTAAAAATAACCATGAGTAACTGTCAATAGTTATATTATTTTTACTTACAAAGTTATTATCTCTGCATAAAGTCTAATTATTGACATAACTTCAACTGAGGGTTGTTTTTTTTTCTCCATTTTTTAAATAGAAATATGATTTGGTCGAGGATTGTTACTATTATTGGCATAAAGTTTATTCATAGTCATTATAAATGCATTTATAAACTATAAAACATATTTTTAAACTAAATTGGAGTGACTGAAAATATATGACACAACTATCAATTGAAATTCCTGTTATGTTATAATGAATTTACAAGGTTAAAGTTTCTGTTAATTACATGTAAATACAGTAAAACCTGCGTAAAACGAAATCGCACAATACCGATTTTTCCGGCTTGAACGGTTTTTTAGCATAGAAAATACAAGTAGGTCTGTTTCGAAAAATTTTTCCCGTTTAGACAGATTTTACTGTATTTTAAAATAAATTTGAATTGTATTATCTAAATAATTAAAAGCAGTCTATTTTTCTATCGTAATCAAATAGTAAATCGCGTTTAATTTTAGGAGTATTTTATTTTCGAACGTTTATCTATAAATTTACTTACGTTTTCAGTTACTAATAGATCGTGTTTCAAAAATAGCATATCTGAAAAGTTCATTACTTTCGTGTAACTATTTATAGCGTTGATGTTTAGATTTCGTTTCCTCATTTATATTGGCGGTAGCTAGTATTTGCTAACTAAATATAAAACTGAAAATAGTCCCATATAAAATGATGCTTGCAGTGAAGATCAGCGACTTCTGTTGAATGTTCCAGACATCGCTGTCAACATGTCGCAGCCGGGGATAAGAAATAAAGACTATAACTTTACAAACTGTCAACCCCAATTCGAAGGAAAAACAATTTTTAGAGCACTCTCTTTTTTGCGACTCTCTCTTAATGCCAAATAAAACATTTAACGTCTTATAAGAGACAGTGACAAATAATTAGTAACACGAGATGTGCCGATTATTATAAGTTATTTATAAAAATGGACACGTAAAATATAGATTATCATATAGATTGTCAACAATATATTATAAATTTAAAAAACATTAAAATCTAAAATCTAGATTTCCTATATTGTCAAAGTGCGCAACGGTGGCGGAGTGAATAAAACGACTGAACACTGCTAGTTGGTCGTGGATTACTCCACGCTTTTCTTCATATTTGTAATACTTAAATAGTGGTCAGTTTCCCATAGAAAGTACTTCCTCGCGGGAGTATTTTATGGGAGTATATCCCCTCGGCAGATCGCCCAAATTACCGTACACAAATAAACCAAATCAAAGTAGATGATATAACCCTCTTACAACTTAAATGTTCTTCATATTCATAAAGTACTAAGGTATTACAGAAATTGCATTTTGGCATACGTTCTTTATATCGAAATGGTTAATATCTGTTCATTTCGTTAGCAATTACAAAATGAAACCTCAAATTCCATTCTTCGTGGTTTAAAACTTAAAATTTCATTCTTTACTGATTTGCTATAAATATAGCTTCTCGATTCTTTACAATACCGTACCATATATCTTCTATTTGAAGACATGTTTAAACCCATTTTTATCTTTTCGAAACAGACACGCATAATCAATGGTCTAACATTCGCAGTCCTTAATATCAGTCAGTTTTCATCGCCAGTAGATCGCGTGATTCGTTATGCAACAATAATAGATGTTTTGGACTGAACTGCTCGACATCGCATTAGTTAAAATGAGCTTTGCTAGTAACGAGCGATTAATTTAAACTCTATTTTTGGGTTGCAATTTGAAAAAATTGTAGATCTATAAATTTCCACTGATCGCCCATCTGTTCTTCCATAATCTCGACAACTGAGTTAGATAGATAAAAGCCGAGACCAGGTATGGAAACCTTAGGGACAGGAGGTTCCGATTAACTATATGAGAACTTCCAATGCAAACCGGGAGTCACGTTATTTCAATTAAAAAAATTCCCCTGAAAGGAGTTAGATCGGCATTATGACTTATGTCACAATAAATATTTGCTCGTTAACGTTTGAAACGCTTTGAAGATGACGTTATGCTACATTAAAACAATTAGAAAAGCACGGGAATAGAGCGGTCGATATTTACCGGAATATTGTTTTTTAACTTGTTACATAATAAATTTATTTTAAAAATTTTCCTTCGACTAAACTTCGATTTCAAAATCATGGTGGGTCGTAGAATCGAAGAAATAAACTTAAAGTACTTTGAATGACGTCGCTGGTATATTTAAATATTTAGCGATATTTTTTCAATAACACGTCGAAAATTATACAATAAAATATACAGTATATAAATTATTAGAGATTACTTCGTTCTTAATTTAATAACAGAAATGTAGTTAAAGTTCTAATTCTAATAGCGTTTAATCTAGATACAGTGTAGTTAGTTACTACTTCATAATCAATAGATACTTCCAACCACCATTATTTATATGTTGGCATATTTTTTTTTATAAAAACAGTCTCCATTAGTTTGATTACATATCATTTTCTTTATATAACTAAAACCTTTTCATAATTAATTTTTATCAATGTCTTCTTGTCTCGGCTAAGTTGGGCATGAGCTTCTAGGCTATATCACCCCGTGGTAAAGTGTGACGTAATTGAATTAGTTGTTGTATGCGTTTATGATGGTTGTTACGCGGAGAATAGTGCCTTCCGGGAGGTCTTTTTAACGGTAACTCGCCTCTATTCAGGCGTTACAGACGTGGAGAAAACCCGGAAAATTCCACGTGGTCAGTCGTCCTAGCGAGGCGCGAACCTACGATCGAACTCCCAGTGTTCGGGGAACGGAACAGCTTGGCACTGGTGGGCTTTTTATCAATATTCTAATATTGACTAAATATTTATCAATTATTAGATCTTATGAATCTCTAAATTCGATTCAATTTATTTCAGTATTCACGCGTACTTTTAGTACTTTCTATTCGAAATTACAAAATTCTCGAACTAACCAAAAAATAATGTCCTGTGTATTTAAGTGAACTTAACTTTCTGAATACTGCGAGATAAATTTAACAACTATTAGAAAATAGAAATATCTTTATTTATATTGTTTTATTATATAAATATATATTGTTATTGTGCAAATTTATAGTTTATATTTATAAATGTATTGCAAATAAATAAATGTAGCTAATCATTTATTTATTTTAATTTTTTATTGGTTTTACCTCTAAGAGAAAAATTGCAGAAAATAAAAAAAATTATTTCAAGAATTTTTTTTTTTTCAAAATTTAGGAAAATAAAACAAATTTCAAAACTAGAAAATACGGCCCACTAGTCGTGGGTTCGCATCCCGCCAACACGTGGAGTTTTTCGGATTTTCTTCTCATGTCTAACTTCTAAATATGTTCAGATCGCCTATATGTTGCGATCTGAACATATTTAACAAACCAATCAAAAATTGAGCTTAATTTTTTATAATTTTGAAAAAATTAAGGCCACTATTGCAAAATATCCAGCAAAGAGTTGCTTAACTTTCCCTGCAGCATTTAAAACTGGCGCCATCTGTTGTGATATTTTATTTTAAAAAGCTTTTTATATAATTAAATATAAAATGGCAAAAAAACTTAATTTTCAGGGTAGGGATGAATTTTATAAAAAAAATTGTAAATGGTAATAACGAGTAAACTTCATTAAGTCCTACTCTACTCGAGATGTGACACATGTACCCCTATATCTCCTGATATTCTTGACATTTAACCACAAAAATTTAATAGCATCTATCTCCCTAATACACAAACTTCCCTGGAAAAGTTCAGAAATTTACGACAAAAGACACAGGAGTTATTAAGCTTCAAAGTGGGTAAACAACATCGTGCCTCCCCATAGACATATCCATACAGGAAACAACTTCAGCAACACGACGTAACAAATGTCACTCATGAAGGTAGGAGGCTTTTGATGTCTTCAATTCGCTGACTGGGCGATGCTAGTATACTGTACACAGTACCTACACAATGCATTGACAACCGATTTGAACAGTCTGTCGCAAGATGTAGTTGTCTCGCGCTTGTACACTATAAGTCAATCAATAATCCAATACAAATACCTTGAGTGATATCACTGAAACTGCCATCTGGCGGCTTGTCTCTATGGGAGTAATGCACTCATTGCATGAATCTCTCATATGAATACTATATGGGCAGGCGAAAAAACTCAACTTATTGTTGCAACGATAAAGACAGTAATTCAGCGAAATATAACTTTTAAGCTTTCCGTACTTGGAATTCGCACAAAAAACTACACTCATACAGAGCTCAGATCATACGCGAAAACTTCAATCATCCGAGAAATATTGTGCAACAAATGTGCTTCAGCAGAGGACGCAATTCCGAGCACATCATCTGCTTTGCAGCAGTTGGATTGAAATGAGCCATGAGACAATATGAATTTACAATAATCACAATTCATTTTTGTAGTATCTGGAATGTATCCTGCTCCAACGTCCACTGTAGTTAGTTGTTAGTATAAACCAGTGTTTCTCGACGGGGGCGATATAGCCCCCATGTGGGCGTTTTTCCATGTCGAGGGGGCGATTAGTAACAACTTATATTTTGGGGGCGAAAAAAATTTTCTGGGCGATATAGTAAAACATTATATTAAGAATAATTAGATATTTTATTCGTTATAACGTACAATACAAATAAACAAACAACATTATACTAGTCACTAGTCTATTCAATAAAGTACGAATTTGGCGTTATCCTTGGCCCTCGGCATCGGAATTTTGAAGTGAAGGGGGCGATACTATGTTGAAGGGGGCGACGATTCGTTAGAGGTTGAGAAACATTGGTATAAACTCACAAGTGACAGGGTTACTGGGTCAATAGATATTTAAAAATTAAACATCTTAATAAATATATAAGCGGCTGCGATCTGGAAGTAAAAAGAATAATCAGTCGTGCTCTCTTCTCCCAGGTGTCTCGTATGCCCATCTTAATATTGTTGACTTACGGTCGATATGGATTGCAGGGTGCAAAGCAAAGCTGTTGAGGAGTTTCGGCAGAATCACATATGCAAATACACGAAACATGATAAACATCACGCTTTGGTTCGCAAAAAATATGGCCACTTTAGTTACCTCATATGTTATAAATACGCATTAAAAGAATAAACCCATCTTCCTCTCAAAAAAGACAGGAACGTCAGTATAATGGTCATTCTGAGTGTTAATTAACAGCACTATTGCATTTTGTTGTACTAAAGATACTGTCAACGCAAACCTATCTCGAAGCTTTATTCAAGATGACTTACACACAACATAAAACGTAATAGCATCGATCCTATTTTCATTGTGGATAACGTTCGTTTTTATATAGTAACTGATTATTGTCGAGAACAACAAATACAGTTGAAGTATCTGTCTTTATAGTCACCTCAGCTAAATCCTATAGAGAAATTTTTCGTTCTAAAAAAAACATATACAACTTTCGACCACGCCCCCACTAACACCACTCTCTAATCTCCGTGTAGAATCAATAATTACTAGCATGAAAAACGAATTAACGTTAACGTACGAGCCATTTTATGAGCATATGACATTTACTAGCAGCGTGTAAAGGCTCTCCTTTACTACAAACAACGAACTTGATAATTAAGAGAACGGTGAAATGTACTGTATTTTGTTTGCATACTTAGACTTTTCCATTTGTTTATACGACATAAGATTCAATATATAATAACCAGGTTACTGTATTTCTTTAACTGCTACGGAACTTCCGAGTGAAACTCGTATGTATTGATTTTTTTTTTAACAATTTATAACATATTTCCACTGTTATGCCAGCTCTCGTATAAATAAGTTACTGTTGTTAAAAATATGTAATACTATAAAATTGCATAACACATAATTAATTTTTTTTAAATCAAAGTCAATATAAAATCTGTTTTAATTCTCCAGATTCGTAACATTTGTGAAATGTGTTCATTAATTAATTTTTACTTTCCTGGCTCTGTTACATATAACAGAGAGAAAGTATGGCGATTTGTCAAAAAATGACCCCCATAGATTTTTACATTTTTGGACTCGGACCTTGAAACGTCGAAAATGCAGAAAAAATCGGGGTTTTTTCCGTATGTATGGGGGTTAGTGTGTTTGGAGGGGAAACGATTTTGTTCACCCTGTTTGAAGCTTAATAACTCCTGTCTTTAGTCGAAAATTTCTGAAAATTTCCAAGGAAGTTTGTGTATTAGGGAGATAAATGCTATTAAATTTTGATTACACAGGTCTGCAAGTAAAGAACTGCATAGGATTTTTATACATTTTCTTACAGATTTCAACTTAGTAAAAACGAAAAAAATACCAAAAAAATTCCATCTCATCAATTTTTTTTGTTATAGTCAAGTTTTTGTTCGTATTTTGCGTAAAATTCCTAGTTAACTTAAAATTTAGCATTATTTTTTTTATTTTTTAAAAAATGGCCTTAAAACGAAGACTTCCCACATTAATTCTATCAATTATAGCTGGACTTGGTAATAAATAAATAAAAATGTTAATGGTTGAAGAGAGTAGTGGTAGGAGGAGGTGGGTTAAGTAGTTTTAGCATTAGGAGGGCGGTCGCATGATCATATAGAAACAAGTTAAAAGTTGATAGTGAGTAATATTATTGGTGAGGTTGAGCATGTTTCGACATGTTATCTGGGATACCAGGAATAAATATAAACAACCTGCTGTTGGATTAGATCATGTTTCAACAAGCTAAATAGGTTCAGTATCTCGCTGGCCATCTAATGCCACACTCAGTTTATATCCAGCATTCGAACGCTACTGTGCTTGTATTTTTATTTCTGGAATATGGCTCGCAGAGATTGTGTAATTTCTCCCGACAGATTCTGTTATGTTTGTGGTGAATACACAGTGAAAAGTCAATAAAGAAACATAAGTGAGTTTGTGATGAAAGTTTAATTTGCGTATTTCAAATTGAAACTTGGAGATCAAGACAAAGCAGATTTTTGAAAACAAAGGGAGAAAAGGAAAAAGAAGCATGGGACTCTTTCAAGAATGTAGTGCATAAGTTTTTGGGAATATTAAGGACCCTGACTACAAAACCATTGTACAACGCATGCTGGCAGCAGCGTATGAAGCTCAAGGATGCAAGATGAGCTTAAAAGTTCATTTCTTACACTCCCATATTGACTATTTTCCCGAAAACTTGGGAGCCTACAATGAAGAACAGGGTGAAAGATTTCACCAGGATGTCCATGATATCGAGAGACGTTACCAAGGGAAATGGGATGTCAATATGTTAGCTGACTACTGTTAGATGCNTATATCTCATATAGTTTTCACTTCCATAATCAATTTTTGAGCTGCTAAATAAATAATATATTAAATGATTAAATATATCTTAATAGTATATGTGAAGATCTATCATATGAAAATGAGTGTATGGAATTCCAAATGACTCACGATAGAGAGGATGTTGACGATGCACGCAGTTATCAACACTTTCAGACTAACAATATTCGACCCAAATCTCATCATATATAGGAAGGAAATTTAACATAATATAAATATAAAATGGAAATTTAACGTTAATTATAAAAGAATTTCTAAGAGGGTTATTATGGAATAATATGATCATACAAACTAATTTATAGAGCTTACGTTAGCCTAACAAACACTAGTTCTTAATCAAACTGCTACTAAAAGTAGGCCTTTCAAAGCTTGAATAACATATTGTATCTGATATAAAATAATGTAGATAAATATTTTTCATTAGATTTCTTAAAACACTGCAAACTAAATGAAATTTATATAACGTCAGAATTGTTTCCTCTTGTAGATTTCGGTGAAATTCTCTACTGTAGTCACGTGTCTGCCTATCATTACTTCGTTGCATCTATCAACTCAAAATGTGCACTTTACGGTTACGTATGTGACAGTTACGATAATTTTCTGCGAGGAAAATGCCACAGGGGATGTGGCAAAAATAACTCTTTATGCGCCCCAATGGGTTTGAAAGCAATCGAATGGCATCACTACATTCGACCCGATTCCACAAAAATGTTCCTTCAGACTACAGTCGATATACCGTATTGTAGTAGGTCTTATTTATTTTATTCATTTTAATAATGTTTATAAAATATATATACACACACTGTATAATTATTTTAAAAGCATAATGTTAATTAAAATCGTAGTACTTTCTTTACAGTGTATCATTATTATGTAGAATTAGTATGCAATTACAGAGACGAAGAAATGCTCTATAAATATGGAAGGAATAATAATAAACTATTCATCAATTTATACGGATCAAAATTACAGACGGGTTTTCAAGAAGTTTCTTTTATGTATGTATCTCGTATCTTATATTAGCAATTGATTAAATTTTAGTTAATAATCTTTTACTACTTACAGAAGCACGCGTTTCAACTCTAAACCTACAGTGGAATTTTTGTTAGCTTCGAAAAATGTGGGTGTTATTCACAGAGTAGATCTCAAATGGAAGCAAGCCAATGAAATAGGAATTTATTTAGATTTGTGTGGTCCTTCTTACAACGCTAAACAGGAATGTAACGAATGCTCTTTCTGTTTTAAAGAAATCAGAATCTATACTCTAGAGACGAATGTTTGGTAAGAAAATTCAACTAATAATACTACTGTTTATTTACTAAAACAATTATTTAGTTAGTTTCAAATTTGAATATACAGCATTTTTAGCGGTAGTTGAACCTTTTACTGACTGAAATTTAAGAATTTTAACATAAAAATATACATTAATTAGTTATGAAGGCCGGATGACCGAGCGTAAGGTGGAAGCCTGCAGCTCCGGAGGACCAAGATAGAATCAGACAACAAAAAAAAAAAAAAACTCCATAAATGTTTCGGGCTGGTCCATCTGGATATGGCAATTCCCGTCTCTCGCCACCTGACCATTGTGGGTCTAGCCGAACCCATAACGGGCTTATTAAGAAGGCTCTCTTGGTGCCCACAGGGTGGAAAGAGCAAAAATAATAATTTAATAGTTAAATCAAAAACTTCATACACTATTGATCTATTTATCAGAAAGTTTCGTGAGTTTCATTCAGTAGGAAATTATTGATTAATATAAATATTTTCCTGTTACAGGAATATATTCTACAGTGATAACTACACATCGACCCGGAACGAAACCAAAACTTTTCGTGTCACTCCACATCATGACTCTTGGAAATCTTCGTTCGTAGAAACATCCCTGTACAGATAACACATTTAACTATTGATAAATTTGTTTTATATTCTATGAATATAAATTATATATTACGTAACTTCTAACAAAAACAAATATGTACAAAATTAAGCAAGTAATTATTCGCTCGTCAGTCTCAGGTATGAACTTATGTATATAAACAATAACATTTTAAAAAAAAGAGAATAAAATATATTATATAAATATTTAAATTTTTGTTTATTGAAGCATAATTTCCGCTCTTTCTCTGCAAAACAGAGCATACAGTATTTCTTTATATCAAATAGGAGAAATCTAGATCAACATTACTTTTGTTTTTATTCACTTAAAAATCTCTTTTGAAAACTCTAGAACAGGTGATTTATTTTCTAAGATTTCTACTTTGAAAACCATGAAAAAAAGGGGGGAACCAAAAATCGATTTAAATTACTTTAAGCTGTCTTTCCTCGAAGGTCGAATTTTATGAAAGATTAATGGTTTTATGTAACCATTAACCTTTCACACAATTCTAAATTCCTCGTGTAATAAAACAAAGGAGAATAAAATTTATAATAGTAAACACTCTCAAACGCATGGATGAACACGTGCTTTCTATTACTCAATTCAGTTACGTAAGCTTTGTTTAGCATACACTACAAGTATTTTTAAATCTACTTTTCGACAAAAGAGGGCGACACTGTATAAAATTACCGTAACGTTCTACGTTACGCAATATTTCGAAACTGATGCTTTTTAGATCAATAATGCTACACACAAAATGAAACCAAACCTACTCTTGTTTAGATACGAAACCAGACGACCCCCCTTCAATAAGTTCTATAATTCATCTAAATATTTCAACGGAATTCTTTTTTTTTTTAAATTGAAGCTAAGGAGCACATACCATCCCTCATCGTAACACGCCACATCACGTGTCGAACGATCGTGATGTTGAAGAAATTTCCAAACAAAAAAAAACGGTTTTACAGATCGATATTCGAGAAAACGAAAGCGTATACTTTTCTTCAGAAAGGTCGCGATTTGATTTAATAATAATTAAATTCGAGTTCTCTAATCTGTATTCTGCTTCCTCCCGGTTACTCGATCTTCCGTTACTTTTCCTAGAAGGCTGGCGTAGTAAGGTAAACGTGTGAATGTAAATGGCTATCGCATTTCCGTGTTGAAGTTAGCCGTTTTCGTGTAGCTCGTTAGTAATACGAAGAAAAATTCCGCCTGATATTTTTCGACCAATACCGGGAAAGATGCATCGACTTAAATTAAAAGAATTCACGTGATACAATGGATTCCGGTAATTCACCATTCCAGGAAACATTGATCGATGAAGGAATTTCCCATGAGTAGAAAAGGGAAAGGATACTTCGAAAGTGATGTTGCTCGACTTCTAAACGTCTTCCAACCTCGAAAACATTCCGCTAGCTGTAAAAAGAATTAAAACAGAACGCTTTTTATGCGACGTATAAAGCAAATTAAACACAATAAAAGTATTTTAAAAAATCGTTTGTTTGCTTTTTTTTTAATCTGTAAACATATAAAACCGTTAGCAGCGAGTTAAAGAGATCTTTGACTTTTCTAGATGAACGAACTAGATTGTTGCAACAACAAAAAACCTAGTTGTTTGAGCACACCTGCGAAGGTTAAAAATCAGCTCGTGGACCTTAGTAACATATGGTGTGACGTCACAGTAGCGGTCGTTATGCATGGGGACGACGATCAGACACTTTTCAAGGTTATCTGTCGCTAATTTAAGGGAATAAGCAAACAATGGTGAAAATAAACTTTTGCTTTTTCCCTCGTCTCTTAAAATAAAATTTTTATTGTTATCAAATTTTATAAATAAAGTCTGATGCATATAAATATATATATATATATATATTACTGCTTTTAAAAATATTTATAGACTATGTTATTTGAATTAAATTTAATTTGCTAAAAACAATCTCCAAAAGGAATAAATAAATTGCAATTAAGGAGACTTGTGTTACGTCTTTCTTCAATTGTATTACGTCAATTGTTAAGGCTGACTTTAATAAACAGATCAGGTTGCGTCCAGGCTGAGGACGCACTTCAGTCTCTGTTAATCTATTTACGTAACGATGACGAAGTTAAGTTAAACCATTGTCATCTGCGATCTAGCCCGTAATGATGCATTATGTCGGTCTTATACATCCGTAAAAAAGTACGCATTCCCCCCATATTTTAGTTATTTAGCCTTGGTGACAACGGGGTTAATGCATGACGACAATTTGATGTCGGCGAGATCACGGAGGTCAGCAACCCAACTGGCACGAAATGCTGTACTGGGTGACGTTTTCGATGCGACAACAGCGTTAATTATCATCATTTCCATCTTTGAACTCGTATATTTAAGCAAAAAACAGAAATGCTAAAATCACGCATGCACCGCGTAAAATCTCTGAACCTTCGTAACGATCGAAAGTACAGTACAACGGAATCGGCGAATTAATAATATAAAAATCGAATGCATTTTTTATTCTTTGCAAAGTTCAAGTTCGATTAATGCAAAGTAGTCACGATTTACATTGAGTTCTATGAAATTCGCTTTCAGTCAGTCGATTCTTCATCATTCGAAATGGACTTTTAACATATATTCCTTCCCAGAAAAAAAAATGTATGTTAAAAGTCCATTCCGAATGATGTTAAAACTAGGACAAGAAGAAAAAAAACTGGAATGTCTAATTTAGTTTGCAGATAGAATGCGTCTTTCTTCAGCTTGCAAAGAAAAATTATTAAATATTAATAAGAGACGAAAACAAATCCAGATAAGATAAATTTCGCGCCATCATACCCTTGACAAATGCGAATGATGCAAGAGTTTTCCCCGTTGTCGAAACTTTACCATAGTGCAACAAACAAAGATGGTGACGTCAGAAAACCAGGCGCATCCTGAAAATATAACTGTTATGTACAGTACATTAATAACTTGGCTCCGTAGCTGTAATTTTTTTTAAAAAAAGTCTAGTTAAATATACACTAAAGTTTGCTCACCCGGTTTAAAATTCACTTTCGAGCATTTATCTATCTAGGTATGCATAATGGGTCGATAGCCTCATTTTCCGATAAACCAGCAGCACGGGAGAGAACGTAAAGGTCACAGTAGTAGTTCACATGTTGTGCAACCAATGAGAGGACGGGATTGAGATCTTCTACGATCATCTGACGTCACAGAATACGTTCGAATAATTTCATTGTACACTCCGTGACTCTACCAGTTTTAACGCAGCCAATCGACTAGGAAGTTACGCTCGTATTTTGTGCTCAATTTTGGAGTTGTATAATAACGTGATGGTACTAAAGAATATCGAAGATACAAGAAAGATGAAGTGAGTATTTATCTGTTAAAATTGGAGTTTGTAAATGCACGACCCGCGCCGGTTTTGGTTTATTTTAATTCATATAAGAGAGCGAGCAAAACGTAAAAGAACAAATTAAAAAAATAGATTTTATGCATTATAAACTGCATTAACCGATTAAAAAGGGGGAAATTTACGTGTAAATCCCAAATATCTCGCTGAATCACCGCACTTATCACATGTTAAGAGGGGTGAGAATGTCTGACGTAATCGATCGTGACACGTCATCTCGTGATTAGGTAAAAAACCCATCTTGTGATTTCGATTATTGAATGCTTTAGTTACTGTTAAATTATTTGAAAACATTTTTAAAATGAATTACTCATATTTAATTTCTAGTTCGTTTAACTCTGCTCATCTCTTGCGAGAATTACTGGTGGAAGCTAGAAGTGAAGGTCGTGTGGCGTGTGGGGTTTATCATGCAGCTCAGATCATGGAAAAGTATGTCGTGTTCTATTTTTTATTGAATTTTTTTTTCTAATCAAAAAATATATTTGTAATTTTATACGTATGAATTTACAGATGTCCTTCTAGTATTATGCTATGCATTCTTCCACAAAATCATATGGATGATGCCGAAACGCACATCCATTCCGTTTTGATTGAAGCGTTCTGCTTCGATAATAATATCCGTTTGCTAAAGGTAATAAATCGATTTTTTAAACATTCCTTTTATGCAAGAGTTGCTTCTTATGGATCACATTTAACAAAGATGCAAATTTAATTAGGTGGATAGCGAAGAAAAGTTATCAGAAATTCTCAACATTCCTAGAAATTCATCTGGAAGATACAGGCAATTAGATTACAGATGTGTCCTCATAAAAGTAAGATTTCCTAAATAGTATCTATAGCTTACTGTTTAATTTGCTTGGTACATACTGTACCTGAAAATAATTTGTTAGATTTAAAAAATAAATGTTGAAAATTATTTTCAGCATCCAAAAGAAGTATGCAGCAAAACAGTGGAGAGTTTCATTCAATATTATAAAGAGAATTATAGTGATGCATATCCTCAACCTATATTGGAGCTACCAGTGTGAAATTGTCACTCCTCAAAAGTTGTAAGTTGCATAATAATAATAATAAACCTAAAAATGTGAGGAAAAAATTGAGATATTTATTAGTATAACATGTTTTAGGTATCAAGCATGTTATTCCGACAGCTGGAAAGCTGAAATGATCCGTATATGTTTATCGGATTCAATAATTGGATATATCTCGCATCCGATCCGGCTCATGTTTGAGCTGTTACGTGCATGACCACATGGAGTGATCGTTTTTATTCACATTCTTTGCAACATGATGTATGTCGATAGTTTCCACCATTTTGCAATATTATATATTATACAGTGTGCAAAAGAAATAATAATAAATGTTATGATTGCAGTGATTTCTTGACAAATTATTTTTAAAATTTGTTAATATTCCTGCAATCTGTTCTTTAAGAGTTAATTGTTATCAAAATATGGATGTGTATTTTGTTAATGACCATTATACCAATTTTATGGCAGATAAGTATAATGAAGATATGTCTGTTAAAAGAAACAATTTAATTATGATGTTATTTATTAAATTTTTATAAATTCTTAATGGTCAGTAATTTATTAAATNTTTTTTTTTTTTCAAAATTTAGGAAAATAAAACAAATTTCAAAACTAGAAAATACGGCCCACTAGTCGTGGGTTCGCATCCCGCCAACACGTGGAGTTTTTCGGATTTTCTTCTCATGTCTAACTTCTAAATATGTTCAGATCGCCTATATGTTGCGATCTGAACATATTTAACAAACCAATCAAAAATTGAGCTTAATTTTTTATAATTTTGAAAAAATTAAGGCCACTATTGCAAAATATCCAGCAAAGAGTTGCTTAACTTTCCCTGCAGCATTTAAAACTGGCGCCATCTGTTGTGATATTTTATTTTAAAAAGCTTTTTATATAATTAAATATAAAATGGCAAAAAAACTTAATTTTCAGGGTAGGGATGAATTTTATAAAAAAAATTGTAAATGGTAATAACGAGTAAACTTCATTAAGTCCTACTCTACTCGAGATGTGACACATGTACCCCTATATCTCCTGATATTCTTGACATTTAACCACAAAAATTTAATAGCATCTATCTCCCTAATACACAAACTTCCCTGGAAAAGTTCAGAAATTTACGACAAAAGACACAGGAGTTATTAAGCTTCAAAGTGGGTAAACAACATCGTGCCTCCCCATAGACATATCCATACAGGAAACAACTTCAGCAACACGACGTAACAAATGTCACTCATGAAGGTAGGAGGCTTTTGATGTCTTCAATTCGCTGACTGGGCGATGCTAGTATACTGTACACAGTACCTACACAATGCATTGACAACCGATTTGAACAGTCTGTCGCAAGATGTAGTTGTCTCGCGCTTGTACACTATAAGTCAATCAATAATCCAATACAAATACCTTGAGTGATATCACTGAAACTGCCATCTGGCGGCTTGTCTCTATGGGAGTAATGCACTCATTGCATGAATCTCTCATATGAATACTATATGGGCAGGCGAAAAAACTCAACTTATTGTTGCAACGATAAAGACAGTAATTCAGCGAAATATAACTTTTAAGCTTTCCGTACTTGGAATTCGCACAAAAAACTACACTCATACAGAGCTCAGATCATACGCGAAAACTTCAATCATCCGAGAAATATTGTGCAACAAATGTGCTTCAGCAGAGGACGCAATTCCGAGCACATCATCTGCTTTGCAGCAGTTGGATTGAAATGAGCCATGAGACAATATGAATTTACAATAATCACAATTCATTTTTGTAGTATCTGGAATGTATCCTGCTCCAACGTCCACTGTAGTTAGTTGTTAGTATAAACCAGTGTTTCTCGACGGGGGCGATATAGCCCCCATGTGGGCGTTTTTCCATGTCGAGGGGGCGATTAGTAACAACTTATATTTTGGGGGCGAAAAAAATTTTCTGGGCGATATAGTAAAACATTATATTAAGAATAATTAGATATTTTATTCGTTATAACGTACAATACAAATAAACAAACAACATTATACTAGTCACTAGTCTATTCAATAAAGTACGAATTTGGCGTTAGCCTTGGCCCTCGGCATCGGAATTTTGAAGTGAAGGGGGCGATACTATGTTGAAGGGGGCGACGATTCGTTAGAGGTTGAGAAACATTGGTATAAACTCACAAGTGACAGGGTTACTGGGTCAATAGATATTTAAAAATTAAACATCTTAATAAAGATATAAGCGGCTGCGATCTGGAAGTAAAAAGAATAATCAGTCGTGCTCTCTTCTCCCAGGTGTCTCGTATGCCCATCTTAATATTGTTGACTTACGGTCGATATGGATTGCAGGGTGCAAAGCAAAGCTGTTGAGGAGTTTCGGCAGAATCACATATGCAAATACACGAAACATGATAAACATCACGCTTTGGTTCGCAAAAAATATGGCCACTTTAGTTACCTCATATGTTATAAATACGCATTAAAAGAATAAACCCATCTTCCTCTCAAAAAAGACAGGAACGTCAGTATAATGGTCATTCTGAGTGTTAATTAACAGCACTATTGCATTTTGTTGTACTAAAGATACTGTCAACGCAAACCTATCTCGAAGCTTTATTCAAGATGACTTACACACAACATAAAACGTAATAGCATCGAGCCTATTTTCATTGTGGATAACGTTCGTTTTTATATAGTAACTGATTATTGTCGAGAACAACAAATACAGTTGAAGTATCTGTCTTTATAGTCACCTCAGCTAAATCCTATAGAGAAATTTTTCGTTCTAAAAAAAACATATACAACTTTCGACCACGCCCCCACTAACACCACTCTCTAATCTCCGTGTAGAATCAATAATTACTAGCATGAAAAACGAATTAACGTTAACGTACGAGCCATTTTATGAGCATATGACATTTACTAGCAGCGTGTAAAGGCTCTCCTTTACTACAAACAACGAACTTGATAATTAAGAGAACGGTGAAATGTACTGTATTTTGTTTGCATACTTAGACTTTTCCATTTGTTTATACGACATAAGATTCAATATATAATAACCAGGTTACTGTATTTCTTTAACTGCTACGGAACTTCCGAGTGAAACTCGTATGTATTGATTTTTTTTTTAACAATTTATAACATATTTCCACTGTTATGCCAGCTCTCGTATAAATAAGTTACTGTTGTTAAAAATATGTAATACTATAAAATTGCATAACACATAATTAATTTTTTTTAAATCAAAGTCAATATAAAATCTGTTTTAATTCTCCAGATTCGTAACATTTGTGAAATGTGTTCATTAATTAATTTTTACTTTCCTGGCTCTGTTACATATAACAGAGAGAAAGTATGGCGATTTGTCAAAAAATGACCCCCATAGATTTTTACATTTTTGGACTCGGACCTTGAAACGTCGAAAATGCAGAAAAAATCGGGGTTTTTTCCGTATGTATGGGGGTTAGTGTGTTTGGAGGGGAAACGATTTTGTTCACCCTGTTTGAAGCTTAATAACTCCTGTCTTTAGTCGAAAATTTCTGAAAATTTCCAAGGAAGTTTGTGTATTAGGGAGATAAATGCTATTAAATTTTGATTACACAGGTCTGCAAGTAAAGAACTGCATAGGATTTTTATACATTTTCTTACAGATTTCAACTTAGTAAAAACGAAAAAAATACCAAAAAAATTCCATCTCATCAATTTTTTTTGTTATAGTCAAGTTTTTGTTCGTATTTTGCGTAAAATTCCTAGTTAACTTAAAATTTAGCATTATTTTTTTTATTTTTTAAAAAATGGCCTTAAAACGAAGACTTCCCACATTAATTCTATCAATTATAGCTGGACTTGGTAATAAATAAATAAAAATGTTAATGGTTGAAGAGAGTAGTGGTAGGAGGAGGTGGGTTAAGTAGTTTTAGCATTAGGAGGGCGGTCGCATGATCATATAGAAACAAGTTAAAAGTTGATAGTGAGTAATATTATTGGTGAGGTTGAGCATGTTTCGACATGTTATCTGGGATACCAGGAATAAATATAAACAACCTGCTGTTGGATTAGATCATGTTTCAACAAGCTAAATAGGTTCAGTATCTCGCTGGCCATCTAATGCCACACTCAGTTTATATCCAGCATTCGAACGCTACTGTGCTTGTATTTTTATTTCTGGAATATGGCTCGCAGAGATTGTGTAATTTCTCCCGACAGATTCTGTTATGTTTGTGGTGAATACACAGTGAAAAGTCAATAAAGAAACATAAGTGAGTTTGTGATGAAAGTTTAATTTGCGTATTTCAAATTGAAACTTGGAGATCAAGACAAAGCAGATTTTTGAAAACAAAGGGAGAAAAGGAAAAAGAAGCATGGGACTCTTTCAAGAATGTAGTGCATAAGTTTTTGGGAATATTAAGGACCCTGACTACAAAACCATTGTACAACGCATGCTGGCAGCAGCGTATGAAGCTCAAGGATGCAAGATGAGCTTAAAAGTTCATTTCTTACACTCCCATATTGACTATTTTCCCGAAAACTTGGGAGCCTACAATGAAGAACAGGGTGAAAGATTTCACCAGGATGTCC